AATAAGTGTCAGGGGCCCGAGACCGTTCAGCTGGCTCCCAGCATACATAAGGGGGATTACCAATAGACCCCTGGCAGTCTTCAAGCAGGCACTAGACAAGCACCTAAAGTCGGTACCTGGCCAGCCGGGCTGTGGCTCGTACGTTGGATTGCTTGCAGCCAGCAGTAACAGCCTGGTTGATCAGGCTCTGATCCACCAGGAGGCCTGGTCACAGACCGGGCCGCGAGGGCGTTGACCCCCGGAACTCTCTCCAGGTAAACAGCAGAGGCAGTAGAAACAACAAAAGCAGTAGAAATGAGAGCAACAAAAACAGTAGAAACAGCATCAGTATATGCAGTAAAAACGGCAACAACAAAAGCAGTGGTAACTGCTTCAGCAAAAACAGTAGTAACGGCAGCAACAAAAGCAGTAGAAACATCATTAAAATCCAGTGAAGTAGCAGTAACAAAAGTAGTAGAAAGAGCATTAAAATGCAGTAGAAACAGCAGTAACAAAAGCAGTGGAAACAGCAACAACAAAAGCATTGGAAACACCAAAAGCAGTAGAAACAACAAAAACAACAGAAACGTCAGCAACAAAAGTAGTAGAAACAGCACTAACAAAAGCAGAAAGAACAACAACAAAAGCAGTAGAAACAGCATCAGCAAAGGCAGTAGAAACATCAACTAAAGCCTTAGAAACGGCAGCAGCAAAAGCAGTAGAAACAGCAGCAGAGGAAACGATTTATATATTTTTTCAGATTTATATCAGTTGTACTTCGGTGAAAGACGGCTCAGGAGATATAAAAAAAATCATAGAATAACATCAGTTTACTGAAAATAAAAGCATCAGTAAAAACGTAGCCTTAGCAACAACATCATTACTAACGCAAACGTGATAATTAAAAGCAGCAAAAGCAGGACACAGCAACATAAAAACACCCGCTGGCGTCGCCAGAAGTATTTTTTTTTTTTTTGTAGGTGTTAACGTATTAGATGACGCAGATGTTTTACCCCCGCCACCACTACCACCCCGCGGGGTTCCGGTAAATGTAACATAGTGATCATAATGTCTGAATGTTAATCTGTCAGTTATCATAAGTTTTTACGGTCATTTTATCCCACAGTTTTAAGAGAAAACAACACGATAATGGTCTCAGGCGAAAGATATTTGAATAACCAGGGCTGCTGCCCAGTTATATAATTACTTTGGCAAGTATTATGTTTTTTTTTTTTGCAGATCTAGAGAATGTACAGTGAACCTTTACTACAAATATAGGTTCCATCAAACATTAATTACTGGGAACGCTTCGAAGCACTTGTATTCGCTAGCGCGCAGGCGAGAGGGATACATCATAATCTACACTTGGAAAATCGTAGAAGGAATGATCCCTAATCTGCACACAAAAATCACTCCCTACGAAAGCAAGAGATTGGGCAGGGGGTGCACAATACCCCCAGTGAAAAGTAGGGGCACCATTGGTATACTAAGAGAAAACACAGTAAGTGTCCGGGGTCCAAGACTGTTTAACAGTCTCCCACCATGCATAAGGGGAATTACCAATAGACTCCTGGCTGTCTTCGTGAGGGAGATGGACAGATACTTAAAGTCTGTGCCGGATCAGCCGGGCTGTGATTCGTATGTTGGATTACTGCGGCCAGCAGTAAGAGCTTGGTTGATCAGGCCCTGGTCCACCGGGAGGCCTGGTCGTGGACCGGGCCGCGGGGGCGTTGATCCTCGGAATACCCTCCAGGTAGACTCCAGGTAGCCCTAGTTCTCTTTTATCATTCCACAATGTATCTCAACCCACATCCACCGGCCAGCCTCTACGTCATCATTTTCAAGGTAAACGACATAATAAGTATTAACAAAACAAAAAACGAACGCAGACTTGCACTCACATTCTTAGAGTGCGCAACACTACTAGGCATGGAGCAGATATTAAATATATATATATATATATATATATATATATATATATATATATATATATATATATATATATATATATATATATATATATATATATATATATATATATATATATATATATATATATATATATATATATGTTCAGAAACTAGTGAAAAATGGATAGGTTCGTAGTACTTGCCGCATAGTTGTGAATCTGATCCTTAGAAAACTGATGGGCAAAAAGTATAATCACATGTTACAAAATACTCTGAGGATTTATATTCGGACAGTAGTAGACAGTTTGAAAAGTAAAAATCTGTAACAAATAGGCATAGAAAGAGCGGAATGGTCAGGGAAGTAAACTGGACGAGGTAGTGGCTGAGGTAAACTCCACATACAGCTGTAAAAAATAAGTGTGTGAAGCACCTTGGTCCTGCTTCTGAAAAGTTTCTCACCTTGTTCTCCGAGTTGTCACATTTTCCTGTGGCAGTTGAGCTAATCCTTTAATCATGATATTGGGTCTGCAAGTTTTAGCTGGAAGTCTCTAAGCCCCTACAGACATCTGTCGCTACCGAAGGCGGCTCGATGTGGAAAATGGGTTTTCCTCACAATTTGTGAGCCACACCCTGACTTCTTATTGAAAATTGATACACTTCTCTCGACCAGAATGCTCTCGTGTTTGTCCTTGAAAATTCTTTTGGAGTGTTCAATTTGTGCAGATTCCGACAAGGCCCGCCTTACAATTATAGACATCAGTAACCTGATTGTATATCTGGCAGTTATAATATCTGCGTGTAATGGCTGGTAGAAATCCACTCTGAGGATGTGATGTGCCCTAGGACCAGTGAGAATCCTGCCTCAATATTTCTCGTCAGTTTAGTTTTTTTCTTGCTGTAGTTGAGTCTCCTTGGGTACACGAGACTTAACATTGTTCAAGTATATTTTTTTTCAAGGTACAAAGTTGATGATAGTAATTCTTTAGCTGCTGTAATAATCTCGCCTGGTGGCAAAAGCTCTCGCTTCACACGGTGAGGGTCTGGGTTCAATTCCCGGCGAAGGGGTGGCAACATTGGACGTGTTTCCTTACACCGGTTGTCTATGTTCACCCATCAGTAAAATGGGTACCCGGGTGTTAGTCGACTGGTGTGAGTCGCATCCTGGGGAAAAACTGACCTAATTTGCGGGAAATGCTCAGCATAACAAGGGACTTTCTTTATTGTAGTATGTCATTGATGTCAGCTAGGCCTGTATACCTTGTATATGTATGTACTTGTAGTAAATAAAAATATTATTATTATTATTAAGTTTGTGGACATACTCCGTGTTTATTCCACTAGAGCTCTGCTTACTCCATGATGAACTTTATACATTCTATATATAGCTATGAATGATTTCATTTTTTAAGCTCCTTGGCGCTAACGTAATTTCGAATAAATTATTGAGCTGATGTGCGCCTCTGACGATATGATGGGTACTGTACTCACCCTCCGTTCCTTCACATTGAGTGACTTTTGTGGCCTCTGTCTCCCCAGTCTGAGCCCTGTCTGCTGTTTGGAAATTCCGTTCTCTTTGAGTACATGATTGATACGTACAAAGTTTTGACCTGGTGAAACTCTTGATCCTTAGAACTGGAATTTCCCTCCCTTTCATAGAAACAGATCTGCTGTATGACCCTTCGAGTTTGACGTCATTGGTCCAAGTAGGACCGAAACGTCGTCGTAAGCTCCTCTTTATGTGCGGGTTATTTGTGTATTGTTCCAGTCACGGTATTGTTAATTTTTTTTTTTGTTATTTGTGTATAATTGTTGGTTATATATTTTGGGCCGCGTCTCATAAGAACTTCTCACTTCTCCCAGATTACATTTTTCTCGACTGATTTGTAGACTTGAGCCTGAAACGAATTTTGAATATACGCTACTTACTTGAGGGTCTTGTCCAGCCTATACCCATGGCATGTTCCTAGGTTGAGGGTATTTTTGGGGGTGATTATGTACGACACATGCTCTTGTAATGACTTTTTGTTTAATGAATGTATCTTTCTACGATGAATGTTTTTCTATATTTTTTTATGATGAATAGTGTTTTGTATGACGAATGTCTTTTGTATGAGGTATGTTTTTTTTCTGAATGAATGGATCATTAATGGTCCAAGTCGGACCGAAACGTCGTCATAAGTTTCAGTCTCCTAAGTGCGGGTTATTTGTGTATTATTCCAGCCACGGTATTGACTGTTTTATATAACTGAGAATTTCCGAAGCATTGGTTTCGTCTCTTCATTGATGATATTCTGTTGTTGTTGTTGCTGTTGCTTCTTCCACCACCACAATAACAACAACAACATCAGAGGGCTGCTTATCCTGTACTCGTTCTTGGTGCTTCAATGCGACTCCAGCCGGAGTATGTATAATAATGAACCAACTCGTGTTAGTGTTAATGGTAAACCACAGTGTTTGGCATGGTTAAACCACAACAAATGTTTCTTGCCATCGCCGATAAAAGATACAGATTAATTCCTCTCCACTGCAGATGTTTGTCAAGGAAGCTCTTATATCAAACGCAGTGAAACACTGCTTTAAATACCCTAGCACTGACTGACCTGTTAGTATGGCCTGAAGTAAGTTTGCTTGTCGTATTGTACCTAATGTGATCCAGTGGTTAGTGTGATGGACTAGTATACATATTCAAAATCACGAGTTATAGACTCCCATGACTTGAAAAAGTTAAAACGGTTTATATCAGTTTTTCTTATGCAGTAACATGACTTAGAGGTCCAAGAACTATATAGACAGCTAATGATGAAAGGAACACTGTGAGACACTTGCTGCTGATGTCACACCTGGGGTACTTCTCAGCATTATCTCAACATTACTCTTTTTCTAGCCAATATGGTGAAGTGACCATTGCGATTGACTAGTAAATCCTAGATGGTAAGTTCAAGGCTCATCCATCCCTTGAAAAAGTTAGTCATTTATTATGTTTTTTCTTATACATTTGATAATGCCAGAAGTCTCAAATGCTGCGTTGTGACCCACATAGGTTTACCACTTTTCCTTTAATATAATAATAAGAATTAGTCATGAACACAAAGGAAAGCGAAATTATTTTAGTTGATTTTTGTTTGTTTATATATATTTATTATGCATAAAGAGTTGGTCAAGGAAGACTTCATTGCAGAGCTTTAAGTGTTGGCTATCAGAACTAGCGTGACTGGACGACACTCTTCATTGTGGTAGTTCTCAGAGTCAGGTGTCGTTTAGGTGTTCGTCTGTGCAGCCGTCGTCCCAACTTCTCCTCTCTACCCATTTTAGCCACCACGACTGGAGGTACCATCATGTTGTAAATATTAATCACTGTGGCAACAATTCTCCCAGGGCAAATGTATATCGAGGCTACTTACTTCATTTGTGTATTATACTATTGAGAATTTATACTGTATTTTGACTTACCCGGTAAATCTGCCACCACCAAACCCACGGTGGAACACTGGAGTAACAGGCTCTGGATAGGCCATAGCCACGCCCACGGCAGCCATCATGACCACTACGATCATCTAGGAAGGGAAGTGTAACAGAGATTACACTCATGAAAGTAACGCGACATTTCTGACGATCCCAGTATCTATCAACTTATTCGTACTTTAAAATAAGTAAAGTTTGCCTTAATGCATCAACAATCAGCCAGAAAATAAGGGAGTCTATTCAGTCTGTCACTGAGATACTTCATTCTTGGCTGAACTGGCTGCAGCAAGAGTTATCCAAATACTTTTCTAACGAAATTAACCCAATTACTAGAAACGTTATTTAATGCTGCGTTAACCGATCCTTTAATCATATAAACAACAGAGGTTTTCCTAAGCAATTCATTAAAAATGACCCGAAAGTTTTAGTGAGAAAGTCTGCTGATCTGACCATTAGTACTGGACTTTCCCTGGCAACCACCATCACCAACACAAAGAAATACCACTGGTAGCAGCGGCATTATCAGCACTGTCACTAGCACCAACACAACACAAGCACCAGAACGAATTATCAACACTAACCCAACGAAATATTTTACATTACTAACCAAGACTCGGAGATAGTTCATGGTGACTACAGGTACCTTTTAGTTCTTCAGCGTCAGGGGAACCTACTGATGCTAGTCTGGGTATTCCTCCACTATTTATATACCTTTGCTTCTCCTTCCACGTCAACATCCTCTCGTGACGTTACGCTACTTAGCAATTCTATTTTATGGAGCACAGTTAATTAAACTCAACTTATGCTTTAATGGAAAATTGTTTTGTTTTTTTTTTGTATTTTTCAAAGTTGTTTTGTTGGGAACAGTTTAATGATAATATTTTCTTCATGAAATGGGGAATACAGGCATGACCTAAGATCATGTACCATAGTTGACCTCCGGGTATTTTCGACTCTACGACTCTCTTGCCCAGTGTGTTAGGATGTTGCTTATTCTGTGTATGAGGCAAAAATATTTACTCCAAATCCTTTTCGTTTTCTCGTTGTTTGCTCCGTCTCCGAGTTTCGCTTCCTTCGTGAATTATATAACTTGCACTTATTCCGACTAAACTTACCTCAGCTCCATGGAGCTGAACTTTTCTCCAGGCTGAGGGACTAACCACCTCAAATACTATTTCTACAAGGTTGATGGACTGATTACATCGTCTTCATTTCACGGCTACACCTGTTGCCTCTATATTTGACTGGAGAAGCCTATTGTGTCAGCGAAACTTTTCAACAATAACTGTTGCACATGTTTGTTAATCATCAATACATTATACTTTCTAATCAGTTTAAGGTCCAGTGGTTTTCATTCGGTATGACTTAGCTTTATTATTATACACTTACTTGATTATATTAACTGTATTTATGTGTCATGGCTAATTTATAAGACAAATTTAAGAACTTGAGAGTAAATGAGTATTCCGTTAGGCCTACTGGCCTATACCAGGCAGGTCCAATTATATAATGAAAGAATATTTAACGAACAATGAAAAACACATATTTTATTTGTCTGTTACTGATGAATGTTGATCAGAGAATAATTTTATGAAGACATTTAAACGTCCATCAGGGACGGCGTCAATGGACGATGCTTGTAGATGTGGTTGTGCTCGGGTGTCGTTCCAGCCAGTGCCACGACCACTGAAGCTGCTACACTCATACATGTTAGTCACTATAGTCACACTCCCGAAAGATGTTTAACTCACGGAAAATATTCTGTGAGTTAAAGTATTCTTCCATTTCCTATTAAATTAGGGCAACCCAAAGAAGGAATCACATTCATTCACTCATTCTGCAGCTGTCTCCGCAAGTGCACACACCTCATAATTCATATGATATTACAAGGTAAAGCCTCCAACCCCATCCTTCAGAGCACCCAGCGTATTATAAAACAAGATGGTCAACTCACTGCTGATTTCAGTTACTACTACTACTGGTGGTGGTGCTGCTGCTGATGCTACTACTACTACTACTAATATATTGCTGCTGCTACTACTACCACTACCGCTACTGCTGTAACTACCACTACTACTACTGCTGAAGATATCTTTTCCTCACCTGACCTGTGTTGTAACTTTCTTTCCCCTCTCTCTTCCAGACCTATCTTCCAGTCTTATTTACTCGCTCACTTGTCACTTGATAATGCTCCAGGATGGGCCGAAACTTCTCTAGTTTCTTCCAGTGTGGGTTATTTGTGAAATATTACAGCCCCTTTATCGTGACTTATTCATTTATAAGACGGTTACTATTCTCAGATTCATAAAGAATTTTATTAGTAATTGCTCCTTCACTTTAACTTACCCGAGGACATCAGTGAAGCCATGGTAGCGTCCACCACCGTGTCGACCATAGTCATATTATTATTATTACAATCAAGGGGGAAGCGCTAAACCCGGAGGATTATACAGCGCCTGGGGGGGGATGTGGAAGGCATTCAGGCTTAATTTGGGGAACTGGAGCACAGATCCAATTCCCTAAATCAAGAGCCCCTCACCAACATCAAGGAACCTTCCTTGAGGGGGACCATAGTCATAGCCTCCACAACTCATAATGTACATATTAGTCGCTATTTCCGAAAGGTGTTTAACTCGCATAGAATTTACTTTAATAATTTTCTTTTTCAGTACAGTAGAACTTCGGTGTTCGAATGTGCTGCACCTCGAATGAACTTGAGTTCGAATAGTTTTGTTCAGAAAAAATTAACCCGGCCTTAGAATGTTTTCCTGGAGTCCGAACGCGTGGGCTTGTTTAAAATGCAGTTATAAAAAACTTTACACGAAAACCTTGTTTCAAAATTGCTTCGAAGTGACCTCTGACACTGATCTAACTCTCAGAGACTTTTGGAAGAGTCGGTTCAACATCCTTCATCCAGGGCCAGATTAAGAAGTCTCCGGGCCCTAGGCTATTCAGATTGGCGGGGCCCCTTTGAGTTACCGGTAAGCGAAGCGACCCCTTCCAGCTTGGGGGTGGGGAGCTTGGGGGTGGGTTGGGGTCGGTGTGAGCCTGTTTAAAGTCTAATTAAATACATTCTGGCCATTTAGATTAAATTTAATAGGGAAAGTACATCAAGACAACCAAAACCATTTACCAACAGCCATTATAACTATCTTGTTAAATCATGCATTTTAAAGAGAATAAACTCAAGACGTGGCTTATGTGTTTCTGGGGAAATATGTAGTAAATTAATTGATGTTCTACATCACTTCCGTCGCAACTTGAAAACTAAGCATTTGCGACGGAAGTGATGTAGAACATCAATCAATTGAGATCTGTTATTGAAATGATAAAGACTTAAAGACAGGACAAAGTGTTTTTAAAACCTACAAACGGAAGTCAGTTTGCGTTTTTAGGTTTTTCTTTATAGTATTTTTACCAAAAATGCGTCTTTACTGGTCCATGCATCTTTACTGGTCAAGTAACCCTATCAGGTACCTCCCTTAACATTTAGAGGCGAAAACAAACATTTATCCATACACATCAATGTCTATCAACAACACTTCAGTTAATTTGTCACAGTACAAGTCTAGATAACGTGTAATTACTACAGAAAATTGGAGAGGAATCTCCCATACTCACCCATTAGCGGGAAAACACAGCTGTTCTGATGTAAACAAAGGCGTGTTGAGTGTTGCCATCTATGGTTAGGTTTATTTATTTTTATTTTATTTTATTTCATTATTTATTTTTGTTTTGATTAATTTTTAAAAATCAATTTTACTCTCCAAACACTTGAACTTTTTAGGTAGGGACCCCTTTGCACTTGCACCATGTGCGCAGTCTTGGATGAGCGCCTGAACCCCTTGGACCGCGGGGCCCCCAAATGCGCGGGGCCCCCAAATGCGCGGGGCCCTAGGCAAATGTCTAGTTTGCCTATGCGGTAATCCGGCCCTGCCTTCAGTGTGTGAGGCTGATAGTTAAGCGTGGCAAATACTGTTTCCGACATTGAGATTTTCGCAGTGAACACCACCTAGAAACACTTAAGTTCAAACACCGAGGTTCCACTGTATTTGGCTGCTTCCCATTAAATTAGGGCAACGCAAAGAAAGAATTATATTCACCGTCATTCTTTCTGCAGCTGCCTTTCCTGAAGAGCACAGACATCATTATTCAAATGACGTACAATACAGTCAAGTAGATGAATAAAACATATGTGCGACAATTGTCTTTATTGTCGTACGGTTTCGCCTGCTCTGCAGGCTTCTTCAGGCGAACACAAAAGTGACTAAATATTGGAGACAGCAGAAGCAGTGGAGAGGCAAAGATGAGGTGATCAGTCCTTTAGCCTTGATTTGAGTTATTTAACGGAAAACTTCTAAGAACTGAGGGATTGGCTGTTACAAAAAACGCGATTCTAAAAGCTTAGAGATCTCCAGTGAATACTAGAAAGGACTGCCCTTCTAGCATCCAGCCTGTTACTGGGTTTTCGTAACAAGTAGTCAGTATCCTTGTCCAATTATCCATTAAAATTCAGTATTATTCAATAGTGCTTCAGGATTACAACTGGTAGGCTACTAACTAGAGAAATTAAAATTTAATAAATTTATTAAGTCTAGAGGTATATTATCAAATTAAATTAAATTAAATTAATCACAGTAATCAAAATAATATCAATCTCTCGAGTTCAATATTATTGTGCTGAAAGCACATATCACATTTATAATTCTTAAGTACCGTCTGGTACATTAACATTTAATAAGATATTACAAATATGTACAAGTAAGTGTGTATGTGTGTAAGTGAACATCAAAATGGTATACAATACCGACAGGTTGTTAGGTAAGTGATGGACTGATTACATCGTCTTCACATCTCTACTGTTCCTGCCTACTTTCTGTATTCGACTGAAGAAGCCTACTGTGTAGGCGAAACGTTTCGGAATAAAGTTGTCTAACTGTTGCATTTGTGTCTTACCTAACAACATGTGTGTAAGTGCTCTAAGTTTACCTGGAGTTTACCTGGAGAGAGTTCCGGGAGTCAACGCCCCCGCGGCCCGGTCCGTGACCAGGCCTCCTGGTGGATCAGAGCCTGATCAACCAGGCTGTTGCTGCTGGCTGCACGCAAACCAACGTACGAGCCACAGCCCGGCTGATCAGGAACTGACTTTAGGTGCTTGTCCAGTGCCAGCTTGAAGACTGCCAGGGGTCTGTTGGTAATCCCCCTTATGTGTGCTGGGAGGCAGTTGAACAGTCTCGGGCCCCTGACACTTATTGTATTGTCTCTTAACGTGCTAGTGACACCCCTGCTTTTCATTGGGGGGATGGTGTATCGTCTGCCAAGTCTTTTGCTTTCGTAGTGAGTGATTTTCGTGTGCAAGTTCGGTACTAGTCCCTCTAGGATTTTCCAGGTGTATATAATCATGTATCTCTCCCTCCTGCGTTCCAGGGAATACAGGTTTAGGAACCTCAAGCGCTCCCAGTAATTGAGGTGTTTTATCTCCGTTATGCGCGCCGTGAAAGTTCTCTGTACATTTTCTATGTCTCACGACTCGACTAGACTTAAACAAGTGACTGACAAAGTCCTCACATAAACTAACTTCTTGACCGACTGGCAACCAGAACAGTCTGCTTGAACAATGAAAAGAATGCTAAGCCCAATAGCCATATAACAAGCGACTGTGACACAATCAGGATCAAGGAGATAACATAACGACACTAAGTAGGGACCATCAGCAGATCCTCCACAAAAGTTACAAAACTCCCATACTACTGAATCTAAGTTCAGCATAGGAAAAACCCTGACTGTGACAATACACAGAAACCAGTACAAATTAGGTCAGAAGCTATAGCTAAGGACCTGAGATGTTCAGAGTGCCCTAAGCAACACACAACCTCAGTACAACGTCGAAATCACTAAGTCTATACAATGTTTCTGTGAACAGATTTTCTACAGAACTAACAAATAATAGACAGACAATCTGTCCAACCACCAAGCGAGTCTCGAGCAGACTGAATACTTCACGAGAGGTGAGGACCCCCCCCCCCTCGATCACGTGATAGCCCCGTGGACAGCACAGCTCAGAAGCCGCAGTATAATGAGCGACAAGCGTTAATTTACAGTAGTTTGACAATCAAGACTTGAACTGAGCACATATATGTACATCCTAACAACATAAGTCAAATAAGAATATATAGCAATATTTTTTTTACAATTTAGCTATTATCGAAAAATATAAGCAATATAAAATTATATGAAAAGATAATATACATTATATATATACATAATAACATTGAAACCCCATTCAGGGGTTGCAACACCCCCCCCCAACACGACAGACGGTCGCACTAGGAGTTGCATTAATGTCTTTCACATTATTACTGATTACTCATATCAATACAATTTAATATAAATATTATTCAAAGTCTCTCTGTGGCCAAGCACCTCTACAATTTCACAGCGTCCGTCACTAGGATATGCCCCTAGTACTAGGGCAGTACACAGTATCGTATCTCTGCATACTCGTGGTTATATACATCAGTGTAGAGACAGGATAGCGTAGACGAGCAGGGCACTGAGGCTCGATCATAGTAGAGGAGACTGCATTCCACTCTTAAGTAGTGGTTGTGGAATGCGAGGCAGTATGAACATCTGAGTATGAAACAGCTTAAGGTGTGTAGTGAGGGGGGGTCTGCGACAGGACAGTGTTGCGTCATGCAGTACATCACCCGCACCACACTACACACTCAACACTCAGCTTGTCTCCTCCTCACACAATACTGTGAATATATAAATATAATAATTAGACATGAGTATACACAGTTAATATGGGCTGGAGGGATTAAGTTACTTTACTGAATTTGACATAGCAAGTAACAAAAGGTATTTGGGGGCATAAAATTACGTAAATTTTAAATGGGAAGTGCCCAAATACTCGTCAAAGTTCAAAGGACACCACAAGAGCTATAGCATAATTTTTCTGGTGTCGTTTGAGCTTAGATGAATAGTAACATATAGGATGGAGAATGTCAGTGGATGTTGACTGTTGGAGCAGCACAGCACCCACTGCATAACAACTCGCATCTATATGTAAAAAGATGGAAAGATTGAAATTAGGACTCAAAACTGGAGCAGAGGATAGCAAATGCTTCAACCTTTTGAACAAATCTGAACAATCACTAGTCCAGATGAACTGAACTTTGCTACTAAAGCTCATAGTGAGAGGTGTAGGTGGAGGTGAGTGCGCTGGCTTGCCTGTCACTTGACACACGTGGCAACGTCGCACATGATCTGCTACTGTTTTCCTTCACCCTTTGGCCAAGTAAAATGTTTTTGCCAGTTTACCGAGTGTCTTCTTGACACCCAAATGTCCTCCTATGGGACTATTGTGAGCAAAATCAATGGCTTGTTCACGAAATGTAACTGGTAACACTACGAAATGCTTGACTGTGGTGGAAACACTATCAGCTGACAACTTACATGTATTTTTCTCCATCATACACCGTTACTATAATAGTAACAATTATCGAGACCCTTTTGCTTCACTCTCAGTAAACTGCTATATCTCTCAGTTTTTCCAGTGACTGATCAACAAACTGATCCATTGATTAAATCATCATGAGTAAAAAAATTTAACGTCAGTTGTGTCTTGACAGGTTGATGACCGGGGGAAGTCAGTGTTAATGATCCTGGGCGCAGAGCGTCACTAAACATATTCAAGCCCAAATCTTTTGTCATCCACTAACTCAACGGGAGACAAGGATGGTTGTTGAATCTTTGACATAGCTCTAGTAATTGCGCTGAGAGGAAATAAAATGGGTTTCTCTCTACAAGCTTTAAAGGCATAATTATCATCAGTGTTATTATCAATCACAAGTGGTTCTTTAATATACCAGCATGAAGGGTATCGTTCCCTATCAACAAATCCACTGACCTGAGGGGAAATACACCACGGGATATACCCACTGAAATAAAACCCAGTATAATAGCTTGTTTCAATATAAACTTTGTGAAGAGGTACTTTTAAAACACCCCCAAACCATAGGCTTCAACAATACATCTATTTTGCATTAGGTATCATCATTAAGGGCAGTACATCTTCTCTTAATAAACGTGAGAAAAACTGCCAGTGTCTCTGAAAAGTAACTATTTCAGTTAGATGTGATTTCGTCAAATCCAACTTTACCTCTCGAAAAGAAAAGGACTCATCGCTGAACGAACTTTTCGTCAGATACACTTTCTGACGCTAGTCATCTATCCTGAGTAACATTATCTAAAAACAGTAGGATCAGAGGTATTACTAGGATTTTGGTGCCTTTGTTGCTCGGAAGAGGATACGACTTGAGTGGGGGCGCCAGCCGCATGACTGTATTCTCGCATCTCTTTCTAAATTATAGCAATACTCTCTAGCATGTCCTTTTCTGTTACAAATAGGTACATTTAACTTTCTTCTTCTCGATATCAGATTTCTGTCTAGCCACAGGGACAGATTCAGGATTGTGAGTTTTCCTGGTAAAGGTACGAGAAGTTACAGTAGCAGGTACATCAGGCCGGCACTGAGCAGCTGATTTAGGTTGCCAGCTCTAGGCCATCTTTAGTTACCTTGTTTCTGTGGGTTTTTTGTAAGTAAAGTAAGTAAATTTATTCAGGTATACACAAATACAGTTACATAGAATTATCATACATAGCAGCATATGTGTAGAGAACCTAGGATAACCCCAAAAAATCAACAGAGTGACTTATTTCCATTGGGTCCTTTTACCTTAATTTTTATAATATAAAGGTTTTTAATATTTTCTTATTATTCTTCAATGAAGATAACATCTTATTATCATACTAAAAAGACTATCTACTACACGAGGGTCATTAAGACTATCTACAATACGAGGGTCATTACTAGGGATAAGGTAAAATTTACACGTATTTTAGCTAAAAAATAGAAAATCATTCCCCTCCCTTTCTGTAGCTTCATTCATCAGACACTTTTTGGCAGTCTTCTTGAACTGGTTCATGCTATGACTGGCTTTGACATGTGCAGGTAGTCTGTTCCATTCCTTTATTGCTGTACAATAAAAGGTGTTTGACGCCTGGCCACTGACTGTGGGTACGTACAAGTTTGTGAGAAATCTCGTAATTGTCTGCTAATGCTGCAGTTTCCAGAATATCTGAGGTAGTATGATCGATCAGATATTCTTGTAAGTCAGCAGGCATACAGTTGTTAAACTCTTCGTGTAGTAACAACTGAACAAGACTGTCATAGTTGTTACACTTGGCAGACCTACACCACCTCTGAAATGCAACTTTTTTCTCACGAGCAAACTCTACACAAGTTTGATCTTGTCGTCGTTGTAATGTACGAAATGCTCTTTGATAACTTACAGGTAACAAGTTATACGTCTCTAGAATTGTTTGTTTGACAGCGTCATAACTAATGTACTTGGTAAATGGCAAAGCTGCAGTACAGGTTTGAGCTCTTCCTGTCAAAGCAGTATCAACAATGTTGCCCAGTGCTTACGTGGCCAGTTCTAGCACGTGCCTGGTTCTCAAACACATCAAAAATGGTTCTAAGTCACTTTCAAAAAACTTAGGAAACCCTGGATGCAGCTTTCTGCACATTAAATTGTTCCCCGTGATCTATCAGTCTGTTGTCCCTTTAAAAGACGAACATTTTCTCTTTGGAAATCTTCTTCGTTCAATTTCCTCTGTGCCTCTATTTGTGCAGTCTGCAACATAAGGAGGCGTTCAAACCTCTCAAACTGTTCCTGAAGATAGGACCATGGGTAATGGAGGAGTAGGAAATTAAACATGGTCTGGACGGTCCTTAGGTCGGACAAATTCGTCCACCGTCTCTAGAGAGTCTAGATCTGGTCTAGGATAAGTAGATAAAAGGTGTATCATACACTGTACTAGTATTAGGCTGTCATACTACCAGCTATAAATCTGTACTATAGTGTCAGTGAGGGAAAGAAGTAGCGAGAACTGAGCTACACTAGGCTCAGACACTAGGCTCACTTCTGCCTTAGGTGCTCTTTCTTCTAAGTAATCAAATAGAGTCATACTTCCTAATTTGTGACACTAGGCTTTCTGAACTGAATCATAATCAGACATCTCGATGACGGAAACAATATATATTTAATTAATGCTCTGACAGTTTCAGCTGTGTAATTCCTGTTATACGTCACAACCGAGATACTTTGGGTACTTGCCAACATGTCTGAAGTTTTAATGACTTAACTCAGACAAAGTCAGGTATCAATTAACTGTTTTCACTTTGGCATACATCACAAAAATAATTGTACACGAGAGAGTGATTATGGGAAACTATAATCCTAATGGGAATTTGTGTTGGTTGTCTTAGAGCTAGAACTCATAAACAGTATTTCCATCTCCTTGGATCAAAAGACTCAGTCAGGTACATACATCCACCTGGTATGTTTTTACAAGACTAAACTCAGAAGTACTAGTATGTCAAACTGGACAATTTCTCCAACACCTTGGATCAAGAGCCTCCTGGACAGGCCCCCATTTGTTACAAAAAACGCGATTCTAAAAACTTAGAGATCTCCAGTGAATACTAGAAAGGACTTTCCCTTCTAGCATCCAGCCCGTTACTGGGTTTTCGTAATAAGTAGTCAGTATCCTTGTCCAATTATCCATTAAAATTCAGTATTATATCAATAGGCTTCAGGATTACAACTGGTAGGCTACTAACTAGAGAAATTAAAATTTAATAAATTTATTAAGTCTAGAGGTATATTATCAAATTAAATTAAATTAAATTAATCACAGTAATCAAAATAAATCAATCTCTCGAGTTCAATATTATTGTGCTGAAAGCACATATCACATTTATAATTCTTAAGTACTGTCTGGTACATTAACATTTAATAAGATATTACAAATATGTACAAGTAAGTGTTATGTGTGTAATGCTCTAAGTAGTTCACTATGTCTCACGACTCGACTAGACTTAAACAAGTGACTGACAAAGTCCTCACATAAACAAACTTCTTGACCGGGCTGGCAACCAAACAGTCTGCTTGAACAATGAAAAGAATGCTAAGCCCAATAGCCATATAACAAGCGGGCTGTGACAACAATCAGGATCAAGGAGATAACATAACGACACTAAGTAGGGACCATCAGCAGATCCTCCACAAAAGTTACAAAACTCCCATACTACTGAATCTAAGTTAAGCATAGGAAAAACTGTGACTGGACAATACACAGAAACCATACAAATTAGGTCAAAGCTATAGCTAAGGACCTGAGATTTCAGAGTGTCTAAGCGACACACAACCTCAGTACAACGTCGAAAATCACTAAGTCTATACAATGTTCTGTGAACAGAGTTTTTACAGAACTAACAAGGGAAAAATGAGACCAGACAATTGTCCAAACCACCAAGCGAGTCTCGAGCAGACTGAATACTTCACGAGAGGTGAGGACAACCCCCCCCCCCTCGATCACGTGATAGCCCCATGGACAGCACAGCTCAGAAGCCGGGAGTATAACGAGCGACAAGCGATAATTACAGTAGTTTGACAATCAAGACTTGAACTGAGCACATTATGTACATCCTAACAACATAAGTCAAATAAGAATATAAAGCAATATATTTACGATTTAGCTATTATCGCAAATATAAGCAATATAAAATTATATGAAAAGATAATATACATTATATATATACATAATAATCATTGTAACCCATTCAGGGGTTGCAACATTGGCCACCTCAAAACTACTTCTTAAAGGCATCCAGGAAAAGGCTGCAATCATAATGATAACAAATTCTCACTCACGACAGCATACTCCACCTCTTTTCAGAAGTCTCAATTTGCTCACCATAAAGAACATCCACACTTATTCATGTGCCTACTACATACATAGAACAATACATGCAAACATAAACCCTCCACTCAAACTTCTCACCAACCTTAACAGGACACACGACCATAACACAAGACACAGATCTCTTTTTGATGTACCCCATGATTATTTTTTCTCTATTTTGAGTGTGTTAACATTAGAATTCTCTTATCACTTCCTAGTGGCTACCATGACTTTAATTTTGTCTCTACTTTTCCAATTATTCATCTTTCACTTGTGGATGGGCTTTTGCAAAATTTATGTATACCACATCTTATTGTGTTAAAAATAATCTTGACTGGCGGTGAACAGCCTATTTTGGAGTCGCTAGGCTCATAACCTCGTTAGTAAGCCAGCTCAATAGCTTTATCCTCAGTAAAAGAGTATTAATATTATTCAGTCTTATATCATTAGACTTTATTATAGTCACTATTAATTTATACACATCAGTAGTCATTAAATAAAGAAGTATTTGATAATGAGGAAAGTTAAACAAAATCTTTGGTATGCTCATTATTTATTAGTTTTTATTACACATTAAATGTGGGCCGCAGAATGTTTTAGTGCTGATTAAACGCCCTCCATCAAGAGTGTCGTCAGTGGATGGTGTTTGTTATTATGGTCGTACTCATGGTCAGGTGTCGTTCAGGTGTCCGTCCAGCCGAGCTACAGTCTCTACCCTCTACTTGCCATAGCCACCACGATGGAAACTGTTAAGAGTAGCATCATGTAAACGTTTTTAACTGTGGTCACTCCTCCCGGAGCAGGTGCACATCCAGGCTCTTTACCTCACTCTCAGTAATATTAGATCTAATAATACCTAGTAATATTAGGCTCTGGTGGCCTGGTGGTTAAAGCTCTCTCTTCACACAGCGAGGGCCTGGGTTCGATTCCCAGCCAGAGTAGAAACATTGGGCGTGTTTCTTTCCACCTGTTGCCTATGTTCCCCAATCAGTAAAATGGGTACCTGGGTGTTAGTCGACTGGTGTGGGTCGCATCCTAATTTGCCCGAAATGCTCAGCATAACAAGGGGCTTTCTATATAGTAGTATGTCATTGATGTCAGCTGGGCCTGTATACCTTGTACATGTACTTGTAATAAATAAAGATATTATTATCACTATATCATCACTATAATGTAAAGTTTGAAGAGTATGACTTAATTTTCAATTCAGAGATTACTCGATACTTGACTCTGGTTAATGTATACCTCATATTTTTCTCATTAATAATCAAAACTGTTCAACAGTAAGAGCTTTACTTTCAAGATACGCAGAAATAATTTACCGGGAAGGGATCTCGTTTGGTAACTTACTTTCCAAAGCCACCGCGAAAGCCACCGCGGAATCCACCACCATATCCACCATATCCACCCGGGAAATGAGGCTCTGCCTCAGGTTCTGGGTCGGCCATTACCATGCCCACCGAGACCATCATCACCACCACTATCATCTGGGAAGGAATGAAAAACGAAAACAAATTGAACTTATTGAACATAGCCCAGTGCTGCTGACAATCTTGAGTAGAGTATTTTCTGGTGGCTTGCCAACTTTTCGTACCAACACTTGAAAAGAAGGTAGCGTGTTCAACAAGTCAAATTATTTTCGTTCGTGCTCAATAATAACCCACGTGGAGACAGAAACTCAGAAAATTAATTGGTCGGGGACAGGATTTTCGTGTAAAAATCAATACAATAACGAACTCAAACACAATGATATGACTGATATTCTAGACATCATTGAAGATAGGTCAGGGCTGGATATTACCGAGTAACTTCGTTTAACCAAATTCATTAGTTATTTAATTAAAAAAAATGTGCGAGTTATTTTTAAGAAAGGTTATGTGTAATTAGTGAGAGAAACTACTGATCTGAGCACCAGTACTGGAAGTATCCTAGCCACTAGCACTAAAAAATACCAGTAACAACACCAGTGCCAACACCACTAGCAGCAGCATTAGTTTCAACACCACAATTACCGTAACCAGCGGTAGTAACTTCATCAGTAATAAATCTAGCACTAGTAACCCAACAAGCACTAACACCAACACCATTAGCAGCAACGTTAGCTCCAATGTCTTTGATAAAAAGGCACCAACATCACTTCTAGTGTAACCCAACTAGTATCAGCCTCAACAATAACAGCGTTTTATAACCTATACAAGTATAGCACATCTTTTTAATAATAATAATAATAATAATAATACCAACACCAGTAACAAATGTTTAACAGTACTAACCAAAAGTTGGAGATAGTACTTCATGGTGACTACAGTTGACTTTCCCACTTCAGTGACAAGCAGAGCTACTGATCCGGCATTGTCCTCCCTCCGTCACTTATATTAAGTTGCCCCCCTCCTCCCCCTTCTGTTATATCCATCACTAATCTCTTTCCGGAAATGTACTGTTTTTTTTTTTTAGTAGTAAGTTAATCACTATAACAATTGTGACTTAGGAGCACATTAGACCTAACTTTAGTGCCCACGGAACTACTGTTGCTGTGCTTGTTTCTGTGTATTCTGTAGACGTTTTGTGAGACGTAATTTTTAAGAGATTCTAATATAATTGGTTGTTGGGTGTACAAGGCTTCCAATAATACATCCTTCGTGAGGTGGGAACTCCCGCTGATAACCCCATGAGGTATAACTTTCATGTGATTGTATCTGACTCTAAATAATAGGCTTAACACAACTGTAAATAATGGGAGTTCATATTACGTGGATTCCCCTGTCACAAACTAGGAAAGGCATGATTGAGTTGGTGACTTAAGGCATATGCTGTCAAGAAAGTAGTCAGTTTTAAATAAATTATCAAAACCAAAGTCAGAGTAGAAACATTGGGCGTTTTCTTTCCACATGTTGTCTGTTCCCCCATCAGTAAAATGGGTACCTGGGTGTTAGTCGACTGGTGTGGGTCGCATCCTGGGACACTGACCTAATTTGCCCGAAATGCTGAGCATAACAAGAAATTTCTATATAGTAGTATGTCATTGATGTCAGCTAGGCCTGTATACCATGTACATGTACTTGTAGTAAATAAAGATTATTATTATTATTATTATTATTATTATTATTATTATTATTATTATTATTATTATTATTATTATTATTATTATTATTATTATTATATGGACTTCAGACACCAAACAAGTCACCCGGTCCTGACGAGCTGTTCTCAAGGGTTCTAATACATTGAATATAAACAGAAACTTTTGAGTTTGAGTGGGCGTGAATTGAACCTGCCTAGCATAGGCCAGTAAGCTTACTGCCGTGTTCTTTCATTATATACTTTCTTATATTCTTAATAGCTAAGCGAATATCACGTTGTATGTTTATCTGGTGAAGGGAACAAGTGACGGGGGTTCAAGTCATCTCCGTAGCTACTCCTCTTCAAGGGGGGCTCCTTGGCATGGTGAAGAGGCTCTTGGTCTGAGGAATTAGACCTGTTGGTCTCCTTCCTCAGACCGATCCTAATTACCCCCTAATCCCCCCTTCCCTATCCCATCCTCCCTTTATCCTTTCCTCCTCCCCCCCATCCCTCCCTTATTCCCTTCCTCTTTTTGGTCTTTGGGATTCTTCCCACAGGCCTACTGGTTCCTAGGTAGGGGGAAGGGTACCGGGGTCAATCCCATTCCGTTGAGGTTCTTGGCGGTGGTGTAGTTTGCCGTGGAATCTGGATCGCCTGGGGATGTCCTGTTCCCTCTCCTGTCTCCCGGAGGGTGGCTTTGGGTGTCTTTCGGGCGACGGGTGTATCTCTGGAGGCCGTCTTTTGGATTCCGGGGGTGGTGGCCAAAGGAGGTATGCTTTGTGGTGGATATCCAGCCGCCCTCTCTTTTGTCCACCGACGTAGCTCGGCAGATGTAAGGTTGCTATCCCGGATTGCTGGTTTACTGGCATGAAGGGTAGGGTATGGCACAGGTTCCATGCCGCATCTGCACTACTTGCGGTGTTAAGGTCCTCTTGGGCACGAGGGCAATTTCTGGCCCTTTCATTCCTCCTAGGAACTATTCCTCCCCGTTCCCCCTTTTTTTATTTTTTTTTTATTTTTATTTTCTTCTTTTTTTTTTTTTTTTTAAAAAAAAAAAGAAAGAAGTAACCTAACCATGGAAGCCCTAGTCCATGAACCTGCTACCCCCTGACTCCTTACTGGTACCGCACCCCGTTCTGACCCGGGCCTCGTTTTTTGACCACTCTTCGGACACTCCTGATGCCTCTGTACCTCTTGCTGGTGCTGTTTCATCACCAGCTTCAGGTACCGGGGTCTCGACTGACTCCTTCCATTTGTCTGACCTCTGCCCTCCTTTGACTATGCTTCCGGCCTCTCCCTCTACAGTGCAGCAATTTTTGAATCACCAGCTGGAACTCTAGGATCTCCCAATCCTCAAAGTAGACACTTATGTCCTTCCTGCCTGCAGGCAATGTGGCTTGATTAACTTTCGACAGCCTCTGTTAATGTAACTGGACATCGGTTGCAGGTTCGAAAGGTGATCCCTACACCACAAGAGTGTAGAAATTGCTGGTGATTTGGTCACCCAGCAAAATATTACAGATCTATAGCCAAATGCCCAGTCTGTGGTGCTGATGACCATTCTAATACGTCTTGTAGCTGTTGCAACCCCTGAATGGGTCACAATGTATATAATGTATATTACCTTTTCATATAATTTTATATTGCTTATATTTGTGATAATAGCTAAATCGTAAATATATTGCTTTATATTATTATTTGACTTAGTTATATTGTTAGGTAGGATGTAACATTCATATATTATTATTATGTGCTCATAGTTCAAGTCTTGATTGTCTAACTACAGTAATTATCGCTCGTGGCTCGTTACTATGCTGGCTTCTCAGTGTTGCTGGGCAGCAACAGTCCATGGAGCAATCATGTGATCGAGGGGGGTGTTCACACCATGCCTGGAGTAGTCAGTCTGGGCTAGACTCTCTTGGTGGTTGGACGTATTCCTGACAAGATGTGCCTAACTCTCCCTTATTGGCCCTTGTTGGAAGATCGTCTCTGTCGCTTTATTGTTTTATGTTCTGTGGAACTCTGTTCACAGAACATTGTCTAGACTTATTGATTTTTGACGTTGTACTGAGGTTGTGTGTCGCATAGACACTCTGAGCAACTCAGGTCCTGAGGTGTAGCTTCTGACCTAATTTGTACTGGTATCTGTGCACTGTCACAGTCGGGGATTTTCTTATGCTGAACTTAGATTCAGTAGTATGGGAGTTTTGTGACTTTTGTGACTTTTGTGGAGGATCTGCAGATGGTCCCTACTTATTGTCGTTATATTATATCCTTGATCCTGATTCTGTGTCGCAGTTGCTTGTTTTTATACGCTATTGGGCTTAGCAATCATTTTATTGTTCAAGCAACTGTTCTGATTGCCAATTTGGGCAAAAAGTTATTATGTGAGGACTTTGTCAGTCATTGGTTTAAGTCTAGTAGAGTCGTGAGACATAGCGAACTACTTACAGCACTTACACACATACACACAAACTTATTTGTATATTGTATTATTAAATGTTAATGTACCAGACGGTACTTAAGACGCATAAATGTGATATGTGCCATCAGCACAATACTACTGTACACGAGAGAAGTGATTATTATTAATTTGTTTAAATTGATTAATTTAGTTTAATTTGATAATATACTCCTAGACATCTTGATTGTTAATAAAGTTATTAAATTTAAATTCATTTAGTTAGTAGCCTACCAGTTGTAATCCTGAAGCACTACTGAATCATATTGAACTCTAATGGATAATTGGGCCAGGATACTGACTACTTGTTACGAAAACCCAGTAACAGGCTGAATGCTAGAAGGGCAGTCCTTTCTAGTATTCACTGGAGATCTCTATGCTTATTAGAAATAGCATTTTTTGTAACAATAGCCGACCTCCCTCTTGCCTTAATTGTCATGAGGCTCGCCCTTCTTACTCTCGCCATTGCCAGGTCTACTGAAATGAGCCGGAAATCTGTTGCCTCAAAGAGGCAGGTCTCCCTTATGCTATGGCAGTTTCTCATCTATGCCTCCAGGGGAGACTACCCCGTATTTCTTATTCTCGTGTTTCTAAACGTCCCCCCACTTCTAGGGTTCCATCTTCTGCAGTCTCCTCTGTGGTTACCCTTCCCATAGTCACTCCCGTCTCTAATTCTTTTGCTGTCCTGGGCTCAGAAGTCCCTACTTCAACACCTCAGTCTGCTCTCACATCCTCGTGTTCTCCTTCACGAGCCCCAGTATCGACAAGACCTCGTATGACACCTCCTCCCAATCGCCCCTCTACTTCTCAAAAGTCCAAAAAATCCCCTTTGCTCAAATCTCCTTTAACCCCTCCTTCCCTTCTTCCACCTCCACATTTTACCTTTCCAATATCTGTACCTGGTTCTTCCCCTCTCACTGGCTCTGTTACAAGTATGGAGGTTCACCCTCCTCCTACTGTGCCTTCCTTCCCTGTCCCCTCCCAAGATTCTTCCTCTTCTGCCACCTCCCAGGTTTCTGCCTCTTCTGTCCCCTCCCACACTTCTTCTCCAGTTCCCTCCACCCTTTCGCCCCCCCCTACTAAAGTACAGTCCATTACTGTCCCAATCTTTACTCACCCTCCTCCTTCCATCTCCAATATTGTCCCCCATACAACGTCTTTGAATTCCGAAACACTTTAAGCTATTTCTGAATATATTGCAGAGACTAAACCATCACTGGACGCTGATCCGCCCCCTGTTCCTTCCTGTGTGGGGCAGGTACCGGTACAATAGAACCACTGAGAGACTTCTTGATTTTAAGCAGAAGCGTGTGGTCGCTCGCCGTGTCATCTGTGATGCTAAACACACTTGCTGGTGAGATTATGTTTCCACCATCACCTCTGCTTCCTCTATGAGTGCAGTCTGGAAAAAAGTACGGAAACTGAGTGGTAAATACTCTCCTGACCCGGCTCCTGTTCTGCGAGTTGCCAGTGTTGATATAGCAAACCCTCTAGATGTTGCCAGTGAAATTGGTAATCATCTGGTCCGTATTTCTCAGGGGCTGCATCTATGCCCCTCGTTTCTTTCCTCAAAGTCTGCCAGAGAGTTAGCACCCTTAGACTTTTCTTCTCTCAAAGAAGAATCTTATAATGTGCCTTTTACACTTCAGGAACTGGAGGCGACACTCTCAGCTTGCCGATCATCGGCAGCTGGGCCAAACAACATTCATATCGGATGTTACATTTACATCAGTCACCCCTTGCAGTCCTCTTACATCTCTTCAATCTTATTTGGTCACAAGTTCTTCCCAAGCTGTGGAAACCTGCTATTTTTCTCCCTTTCTGCAAACCGGGTACTATGGGACATG